AACCCTAACTCTAACACCAATGGCGATAGTAATGCTAGGTGTTTATACAGAAGATCATCATGTGATCACGTGAATTTAGGCATCATCCAATTTCAGCATCATCCCCGACATTAATTAACCAGGAGCCAAATTATTATGACCTGAACTATTTTCACAACAAATATAGTAACACTTCGCTAAAAACGTTGTATCTAAATTTATTTATATTCTTTTTACTAAACTTAATTATGCAAAAATATTTATATTCTATAGTTTAATTCCATTTTATTCTACTCTTAATTACTATAATATAACACTTAACTTTGCTCAACTCCAAAAGTTTCTTAATAGTGAATATCAAACTATTAATAGAGCCCAATTTATTAAGACTTAAACATATGTTCTATTCATCTTAGCCTTTACTACTTCACTTTTATCAATATGAAGAACCAACTATTATTCAAATCCAAAATAATAAATTTAATATTAATGTCTCTTTTAATATACCAAAAACACAATTCCTAAAAGACTTTCATATTCCATCTTTCAAACCTTACCAAACCAACTTTAACACTTGTTTCAAACCTTTCTTTAAAGTTTATCAATGACAATTCGCTAAGATAGATGAAAAGAAAACTTATGATATGCAACTTTTCCAAATATTTTCTTTATTAACAAAATTCTTTTCATATCTCTTTCACATGTAATATAAAAGGTTGGAAAATATTTAGAAGATATTCAGAAAGGTTGCATATCACACCAAGGATTTTTGAAAGAATACTTGTTGAAAGGGTTTATTGTTCTACCTGTGTGTGTTTTGGCAGACATTCTTTTCGTTATTTAATTCGTGAGTATATTTCAAAACTCCACAATTTTTTATAGCTTCTTCCAAATTATTTATTTGTGTTAATTTGGTTCATGAATGCAGATTCGTTTATAAATCCAATTACAGCCGAAGCTTGCTATAACGAGCTCCTGAACATAACGAATGTGAAAATTTAATTTTATATTGGTTGAGTTTGGAAAGTGTAGACTTTGTATATTCGATAATTCGATATTATTTATACAATACAATTCAAGCTTTACAATTCATTTTAAATCTGTTCGCGGTTATTATTTAGTAACAAGAATTATTAAGGTGATGTGTTCTATTTATACTGTCTGGAGTATGGTTAAAAACCCTCCATTTAAGCAAATAGCTATTATTATCGGTATTGGCATTTTATTGTTCTAATGTAAATTTTGCTAACTGATTTATTGCTATATTGCTCTATTGAATATCAACCTTATAATTTTTAACTTAAAACTAATTATGAAGTGATTTTTATAAATTTGACTACTTTATTTATAATAATAAGAGACACAATAAATAAATAAATGTTTGTATTGTTAAATAATTAATCTATTTCTTGCTATTATTCAAAACCTTTTATATCACCGCTATTAATATCTATTCTTATCTTTTTAGAATCAATATCCATTTCAATTTTTTCAGTAGTATCTGTATCCATTTTTCTCTTTTTAGAATCAATATCCATTTTTATATATTCTGTAGTGTCACTTACTTCCATTTCTATATTTTTAACATCAATATTATTATCGGATATAACACATTCATGTAATTGTTGATTGATAAAACTAATAAGTTTACTAGTATGAATAGAATTATTATCATTGCTAACGTCAGAGTGATTATTTTCTATTACCATTTCTTTATCAGAGTTTTTAAATTCTGATAAAATTTTCGAATCATTCTTCCATTTTGTAATAGTTTCATAAATTTCTAATGCTGATGGGCGTTTATCTGGATTATTATCCCAGCATTTCATTAAAAGCTCGACAAAACATGGTGCTGTACCTTTAAGAATATGAGGTCTTAATCCTCTACAAATTTCTATAGCAAAGATTTGATCATTACCTTCATATTTAGAAAAGTTAGAAAAGGCAATATTTCCTGAAGAAATTTCCCACATAATTATTCCAAAAGAATAAATGTCTGATGCTTTGGTAAACGGTTTTCCTCGTAAAATTTCAGGTGCAATATAAGGTAAAGCTCCATAAATTCCTTTATATTCTGTGTCCAATGTTTTACCTATTGCCGTTGCAAATCCTAAATCTCCAATATACGCATTATGCAAATCGTCTTGGAATATGTTTCCACTATGTAAATCTCTATGAATAATATTATGCGAGTGAATTAACTGAAGATCATATGCCATATAAGATATCAGTTCTAACTTTTTCTTCCATTCCATTTGTGCAATATCATAAAGGTTCTCACGTAGGGATCCCATCTTTGCATATTGCATGACTAAAATATAACCTCCTGTACCTTCATCCCTTGATATCCCACGACATTGTAAAAATGTTGGATTTTTAGATCCAATCATAGAATATGCATTTAACTTTAAAAATATTTATTAATTAAACTATTAGTTAACTTTATAATTTAATGAAATATTAAACTACAAAATATCTACCTCTTTAATAAGTTCCCGACAGCTATCATTTTTTCCATGAAATAATTTAAGTGCAACAGCTTCGTTATCAATACCACCGGTATAAGTATGTGTCCATATAGCATAATAGACTGTTGCAAACCCGCCCTCCCCAATTTCTTCTATAATATTAAATTTATTAAATGGAATCCATGACATTAAATTATTTTCTAATAATAATTTTTTTAGAAAATCATCAATATCAAGATTTTCACAGCTAGTGGCTTTTTGTGAGTTGATTCTGGCTTTCCGTAGCCATTCAATAGCTTTTTCCTGATTATGCGATGTTCCGATACCGCTTCGATAACATAAACCAAGCTCATATTGTCCACGAGGATCACCACCTTCAGCAGACTTTATAAACCATTCAAACGCCTTTTTTTCATCTTTTATAGTATTTTTGCCTTCCAGATAACATATTGCAAGATGAATTTGTCCAACCGAACTACCACCTTCAGCAGATTTCAAATACCACTCAAATGCCTTTTTTTCATCCTTATCTGTACCTATGCCATATTCGTAATGGAATCTAAGATGCATTTGTCCATCGGAATCACCACTTTCAGCAGATTTCAAATACCATTCAAATGCCTTTTTTTCATCCTTGGTTGTGCCTATGCCCATATGGTAGCAGAATCCAAGGCTATCTTGTCCATTCGAATTTCCACCTTCAGCAGATTTCAAATACCATTCAAATGCCTTTTTTTCATCCTTGGTTGTGCCTATGCCATCTCGATAGCAACATCCAAGATTATTTTGTCCATTCGAATTACCATCTTCAGCAGATTTCAAATACCATTCAAATGCTTTTTTTTCATCCTTGGTTGTGCCTATACCTTCGTCATAGCAGCATCCAAGGTTATATTGTCCATTTGAATTACCACCTTCAGCAGATTTCAAATACCATTCAAATGCCTTTTTTTCA